GTCCTGAATCAGGACTTTTGATCGGCAGTGTTACATTTTTAGCATTGGTATTTATTTTTTCCCCGATGTAACGACGTCATCAATAACATATTAACATTAATATACCATTTATACTCTATTATTATTATTGTTACTTGATATAATTAATTAATATTAATAAAAAAATGTCGACTTGAACGAATTGTACGATTTATTTTGAACTCATCTATGATAATGTTCATATCATGGTTCATGTTCGTAGAGGTTGCATAGGTACCTAATTATTTTTCATTGGCAATTATTTAAAGATTAGTTATTTTTTGTGCAATCTAATAAATTCCATTTTTAAACAAATTATTCCGGTTTATTATGATAGGTTATTATTAGGGCTCGAATTTATATGTAAATACTTATTTTCAAAATGACTTGATAAATTAATTTAGGTAAGTGATAAATTCGTTCCAAGAAATTTACAAAGAAATTAACTAGGTATATTTTATTTTACATATTTTTACATATTTTGTCATAAGAACAAATTTTTTTATATATTTCTCAATAATTTCATTTTTTCTTACATATTTATACCATTTGTCCATTTATAATTTATTAATAATACAATACAGGCAATTTCTCGTGTTTCCAAAAGTAAGTAAACAAAATAGTACCAATTATTGACTTTAATCTACGGTCGATACATGTTCCATATTTCGATATTTCAATATGTTCGACAAGAAAAATAACTTTAACTCAAAGTTTAGGACTCATAGAAAAAGCTGTAAAAAGCATAGAACAAGTACAAAGACCATTAGGAGTTGCAGTAAAAGAAAAAATGTACAGTGTATTAAACAAAAATCCTGGTTTAAATTGTCTAAAATTAATTAAAGATACATTGCAGAATGAATGGGGTAATATTACAGAATGACCTTTGGACACTGAAAATATGAAATTTGCACCCATTACCTCTGTTAAAGTCGAGCGCTCCTTTAGTCGATACAAATCTGTATTACAACAAACCATAGATAATTTAACTTTGAAAATTTGAACATGTATATAGTATCTCATTACTATCAAGATCAAGGTTCAATTTCATAATAATTTAAATTCAAGTGTCTTAATTTTTTTTTTTTTTTGTCATTTATAAAGGGATTTTTAATTTTTTTTTCTATTCCATATTTTCATTTTATTATCACATATAAAGCGATTTGTTATTACATTTATATTTATATATTGGTTTTTATTAATACATTTAAATCCATAAGCCCTACTTATTATCTACATGTTTCGTTCTACCTATACACTTTGAGTCATATTACTTACATATATTGTTCTTTAGTTGTTGATTATATCTTTTATTCGTTTAATAAATACAAAATAAGTACCTAGTTGTATAAAACCCTCTGTTCTTATGTAATCGTCTTATAGTCTATAGCAAGCATGTCAATTACGCGGCCCACGACTTATTATTTTGTGGCCCTCGGCTACTAATATTAATGGACAAAATAAAAAATGAATAATAAAAAAAAATTATAAAATATTAATCATGTGTTTCAACTAACTTAGATTCTTTGAGACAGGTATATATTTATATTTTGGTACACATTATTATATTTTATCTTCTGATAAACTTTAATCTAATCGAACAATTAGTGTTATTGATGGTTTTATATGTACAAATAATACCTTTGGAAACAAATCGTTCGACAACCAGCGTGTGTTCGAATTTAAATTTTCTTGCGTATATTTTACTACAAATTTAAAATTTAAAAATGTCTGTATCAAAACCAACTGGTAGTAATAAACGTAAATAACCGATGAACATAGTCAATTTCAAGAACATTGGGAATTGCAATATTTTTGTAGTGAAATCAATAATAAAATAATTTGCTAAATTTGTAAAAGTGTTATTAGTGTTCTAAAGTTGTACAATATTAAGCGACATTACGAACAACATAAGTCAAAATACGAGCACTATTAAGGGTTTTTAAGACTAACTGTAAGAACTAAAATCAGGATATAAACACCAAAAATTAATGTTCACTAAAATACCAAAAGAAAATGAAACTGCAGTAAAGGTTAGTTATGTGTTGTCAGAATTAATTGCCAAACATTCGAAACCATTCACCGAAGGTGATTTTATAAAAACGTGTTTGATTAAAACGGCTGAAATAATTTGTTCCGGAAATCTAAAAGCTTTTCAAAACATTTCATTAACAAGAAATACGGTTGCTGAAAGAATAACTGAACTTGCAATTTGAGTGATCAGATAAAAATAAAAATATCTAGTTTCGAGTATTTTTCAATCGCTTGTGATGAAACTACCGATATTGATGGCATAGCTCAGTTAGCTGTGCTTGCGATACGGAATTAAATATTTTTGAAGAGTTATTGGAAATTAAACCTATGTATGTACTACTACAAGAGAGGATGTATTCGTTTCTGTTTGTGAACTCTTAAAAAACTATGATTTACCTTTGGTAAAGTTATCGTCTGTGGCTACAGATAGAGCTCCTTCTATGACAGGAAAAAATAAAGTTTATATTGAAAGGTTACGAAAAAAAGCGAATGAAAATTTTGAACATACATTTCATAGAACATATTGTATTATACATCAAGAGGTTTTATGCACAAAAGTTATTAATATGGCACATGTAATGAGACCTGTAAGACAAATGGTCAATTTTATAAGATCTTGTGATTTAAATCAAAGACAATTTTCGATTTTTTTAAACGATTTAGAAAGCGAGTATTCAGGTTTACCAAACTTTACAGAAGTACGATGGTTATCATGCTCCACCGTATTAGAACGATTTTGGAAGTTAAAAGATGCAACACAAATATTTTTAGATTCTAAAGAACAAGATGTCAGCACTTTGTCGGATCCAATGTGTTTACAAGACCTATCCTTTATGATCGATATAATGAAGCACTTGTCAAATTTAAATTTAAAATTACAAGGAAAAGATCAAATTATAACAGCTATTAATGACCATATTACAGCTTTCAAATGTAAATTAAATTTATGGAAAACACAATTACAGAATGAAAATTGAACGAATTTCCCAACATGCATGACGTATAAAACAAATTATAATAAACCAATTTTCTACAAAAAATATTCAGAAAAAATTATACTCGTATGTTTGAAAACTGAATTCGAAAATAGATTTCAAGATTTCAAATATTTAGAAAGCGATTTTAAATTATTCACGTCTTTTTTTTAATAGACGCAGTAAAAGTTCCAGCACATTACAAATGGAACTAATCAAGATTCAAAATGATTCAAATTTAAAACCGAGATTCAATAAGGTTGGTGTACCAGATTTTTAAAATTTTTTGCCTGTAAGATATATAGAAACTCGCAAATTTGCGTGTAAAATTAAGTCTGTGTTTAATAGTACTTATCTATGTGAGCAGCTTTTCTCATTGATGAATATCAATAAATCACCCGTTAGATCCAGATTAATAACATTCATTTAAATTCAGTTTTAAAAGTGGCTTCATCTAATAATATATTTCTCCCGAAATTGAGAAGTTGGTGGAGGAAAAGAGATGCCAAATATCGTCCAAAAAAAATTATTAATATATTTTCTTTTTGTAATTAAAATAATATATATCTCATATATTATTAATATGACTTTTTTGAATATTCATTTTTTTATATGTATTTATACTTGTTGTGTCCATAAAGAATAAAATTGAAAAAATTGAAAAAATATACTTATTTTCGTAAAATATTTACGATGGCGGCCTAGGTAGTAAACTATTTAATATATTTGGCCCACTTGATACTTTAAGTTTGACATGCCTGGTCTGTAGGTATAAGAATATTTGGTAGAAGGGGATGGGAGAGCTAAAAATGATTCTTAAAATCCGGCCTTAATTATGCTAGGCACGGCACTAACTACCATTAAATGGTTAGTTTGTTCAAGAAACAAATAAAAAAAAAAAAATAATGGTTTAATTGTTCGGGAAATATTTCTATATAGCAATTATAGGAGTTTAAAATGTGTTCAGTTTCAATATTCGGCCTGTGTCATACACATATATTCTTATGTGACGATTCTATAGGATGAAATTCAGTTGAAAGATACAAACGTACAATGGATCTGACAATGTTATAGATAATTATAAAACGAAACTTTTTTATTTAATATTATAAAAATGTGTATAAATTGACATTAAACATTTTGCAAAAGAATTTTTACGTATACCCAAATCATTGCTAGCGAATTTAACGTAGTAAGTTGGACTTAACTAACTTTAATTAAAATCGAATTTTTGTACTTAACACGTAGTTCATAAATAAAATACAAGTATATTCATGCATAATCATTTTTTAATAAATTTAAGTTCAAAATTAATATAAAGTCATATATTCGTTTGGATAATTTTTAAATTATTATTTAATAGGTACTAAAATATAAAATAAAAAAATAAAATATCCATTAATAAAAAATTGACGATGTACATAATTACAAAATATTGATCTTTTATTAATTTTATTGATTTATTTAATACAGAACGTCTTCGGTAAATGCTTTCGATGATAATGATCAGTACATTTTAACATCAACTATAAAGTATAAATAAACCAATAAACCTATATTATTTGTGTATGTTTGCTTTAATTTATGTATGGTATCGAATAACATGCATAAGTGCGATAAATTATGGCCATTGACAAGACTTTACGAAACCACGTAACTTATAGATACATTCAAATTTAAAACATTTGTATTATTTTAACTAAAACAGAAGAAATACAAATTTAATTTAGCGGTTAATTTCTGTGAACCACGGTAACGTGCAAAAATATTTATATGGTAACAATAACTTGTGAAAACCATGCGCTAAGATAACTTCACTAATCAAGTTCATGATAACAATATCTATCATAAAATTAAAAATTGATTTAGAATTTTATGTCAATTTTCAAGTGAATTGTGTACTTTAAAATTCAATACTGCAATAGTTATAAATTACAATAATTTTATATAAAAAAATTAAATTCAATAATAATTCATAAATATGGCAGTGGATATGGATTTAAAAAATGTAAGTAAAACAATTAAAATAATTATTGATTAGCAATAATGTAAGTATAGTAAATAAAATATTCATAAATATATATATATACATATATATATATATATATATATATAAAATTATTTTGAAATTAAATATTAACAATTCAGGAAATTATAGGAAACAAGAACATTATAATTAATTGTTTTTTATCTTCATAAAATAAAAGGTTTTCATTAGCAGTTTTTGTCATATTTATGTACATGTCTCGTACATAATTTAGTTGTGTTTCATAAAAATATTAACTAACACATATTGTCGAACTCATCAAAATATTTCAAAAATATTTTACTGATTTATATACATTTTTGTAAAATGAATATTATTACAAACAGTTTCATCATTAAAAAAAATATATATACAGTAATTTAAAGGTAAATCACAGAAGTACATTTTTTAGTATTATTGAGCCTAAAATAAAAATATCATCTTTTAATTTTCTGACTCACAAAACTGATTGTTATCTTGTTTTATATTTTATCAATAATTTTTTTTATAAATGTCTACATATGTTTTTGGTAACCTTATACCTATATGCTTATTTTATTTTTATTTAATATATATATATATATATTTTTATATAATATGATTGTTTTAGGCTTTCAAAGAACTTCATGAAAAATTATTGTATGCATCTCAAAAAATAAAGTTGGCTGATATGCAAATTGATACTCTTCGTCGAACAAAGCAACTCAATATTCTTACTAAACAAGAACTAGAAGTATTATAAGCTATTTTTTTAATATATTTATGTATATAATTATAAAAAAAACCATTATATAATAGTTCTGTCAAATTTTGTAAAAGCAAAAATTGAATCATCAGAACCCAAAAAAGTGAAAGAAGAAGTTATTAGTTTTATTATAATATCTACAATATAAATACTGCTAATTATAAAAATAATTAATGTATGCTATAGCCTATATTATTGAATACTTCTAATAAGAGTACTTAAGGGTATCACATATTAAATTAAATAAAAGAATAATAAAAAAATTAAAAATAATATTATAACTAATACATTTTATTTAAAAATATGTATGATATTACTAAAATGAAATTCAATTTTTCACTGAAACAGTGTTAATAACATTTATTTTCCATGGTTCTTTGATTATTAGTATATGGTTATTAGTTACTTATTTTAATTTTCAATATCTAACAAGTATACATTTAACACTTAATATTTCTCTAAAGAGATACATTGAAAGCAATTGTGTTTTAAAAATATTTTCTAATATTGTGGATTTATTTATAAAAATATTTTGATTATGTTTTTGATTTGACATATTTTATTATTTTGCAATATAGATAATTAGTCATATATAACTACTTTTTACCAGTAATCTTTAAAAATAATTACACTACTAAAACTATTATTAATGATAAAAAACATTTTATATTCTATGAATCAATTATTGAAAGTTACATTTATCACTGAATAACTAATTTAAAAAAATAATCATATTTCTGAACATGTATACTTAATTATTATTGTTTTTCCTTTTTCCACATCTGTAGACAATTCCGAAAGATGTAAAGACATATGAAGCTTTAGGCCGAGCATTTGTTTTAACACCAAGAGAAGAAGTTTTTAAGAACTTGGATAAAGTCAATACAGATACAGAGCAAAAAATAAATATTTTAGAAGTAATTATACTATAAATTAATAATAACCAAGTATTGAGTTATTTTATTTATTTCAGAATAGTAAACAATATTTGGAAGCAAATTTGAAGGAAAGTGAAAATAATTTGCGTGAAATGGTGCAACGTAAAAGAGATGTTGGTGGTGATAAAGAAAATAATCAACCAAGCAGTTCTAAAGCTTGATAATATAATATACGTTTATGTTTTATAAATTTTATAATTAACAATACATTTATTTAATTCTACAATAATATGATGTTTTATATCAAAGAAAAATAATTGAATATTAAAACTAGAATCATATTACATATTTCATGTATTCATACTTTCTTTTAAATTAACAACATTTTAAATGTATTATTTATACCAAAAAAATTATTTCTATAACAAATCTGTCATAACTTATAATCCTTATAATCTCTTTATTTACGAATAAATAATAATCATATATTTGATCTTGATTATTATGAAATTTATCATGCTTTATTTTTTATTCTTATAGTTAAATTGTTTTAGTCCTTATGAAGTAAAACAAATAATTTATCAAATACCATGTATAATTGTTAGTTTAATTATAACTAACCAACCTACTATCATTTGTGAATAACCAATACATAAATTTGCTAACACAATTATATTAAATTCTATAGAACTTTTTTGAAGCATGTAATTAGATTTAAAAAAAGTTAAATTTGCTATATTTTATTTATTGATCAAAAACTTAAAAACATTCAATATTTTTAGTATTTAATAGTAATTTAAATAGTATTTTGACAATGACATTTAAAGACATTTACACAGTTGCTCACCCAATATTTGTATTTTATCAGGTGATTTATTTTTATTTTCTACATTAGACATTAGTTATTTGTCGACAAGGCTTCAGGTTTTTGATTTCAATATTTAATTTGGAATTATTGATTTATGCATAAAAAAAATAGAAATATTTAATAAAAGGTAAATTCATTATTTTTAATTTAGATTATAACTCCAAAATGTTTTATTTTCTTAATGAATAATATAAAATTTACTTATCAAACTAAATAGTAATAATTGGTTTTAATGAAATTCAAGCAACTAGAAGTTTTTATCATAATAATAATTATCTTGTTCCAATCAATATCAAAAATGTAAAGAGTATTCTGACATTTTAATAATTATTTTCTTGTTTTGACCAACTTTGTTAAAAATGTTATACGTTGAGTGTTATTATATTTTTACACGTATAATATCGCGTTGTATTAACTTAGCATAACAATATTTTTTAAATGTCTATTATATTAGTAAATAATAACTTGATTTCATTGGATTTTTTAGTCGAATCATTTTAGACTAAAAGAGATAAACATTTAAACTGTTATAGAGAAAAATAAATTTTTTTTTCCTTTTAAAGTTCGAATTAGATGATTTTAATCGATCCTTTACATACAATGAACCGATCACCATGGTCCTATTTTTTAAAAGATCGAATCGATTCATTGTTATTTGTTGTTTCGATTATGTAATACAAATTAAAAATTATTACACATTTTACATTTTCACTTGGAACACAGGCAAAACAATCTTTTCATTCCGATTTAAATCGTTTCAAAATATCGACTTATTTTCAAGAATCGCTCATCACTAATTCAAATAAGGGATTCATTATTATTCATTGTGTGTTACTAGATGTGTTTTCACTCAATTATTATTATTAGTTAGTTCACTGTTGGAATTAATTACCTGCATTTCTTTTAGTTGTTATCTTAATTGTTATTATTGTTAATATTCATATTTCATTATGTTTTGCTAATTTTCTTTACAAGTTGTTAATATTAATTGTCAACCACTGCTTATTTTTAAATTGGACATTGGTCCGTAATAATTAAATAAATGTACAGATGTAAGAAATGGGAAGCTTAATTTATTCCGAATTTGTTTTTATTGCTGTTTGAATCGAAGACAAAGACGTGTGTTGATCACGCGAGAGGGAGCGAGCGGCTGAGAGGATTTCGAATAGATTTTCAAACACCTTTTCCGATCGGTTTGTTTTCCCCGAACACAAATCGGGTTCAAAAGGTTTCGAACCGGCCCTATGCCTTTTACGTAAACACGTACAAGTCATCGATAGTCAAGTCTGTTTTATCCGTTGTGCCGT